AAACTCAAAGTTTCACCACATTAAAAAGGCAGATGAGCTCACCTTTTGTTCCAGCAGCTGCTCCATAACCTGTGAAATAAAACCAACTCAGTAAAACACAATTCTAAAACACTRTTCAAATGCAGAAGTTACTTCAAGCTGCCCTGTAGGGTTTTTTTTTAATAGTAAATACTAACCTAATCCTTTTGTAAGATGACCAGAATTTCCATTATATTGTCCCACTGTCCGGCCAACACCTTGTTTACAAAAAATAAAAAATAAACAAAAAAATCTGATTTTCTGTACAAGTTCAGTTTGTTCAGTATAAAACTAGCCGTTTTACCTGTCGATGGCATAAACGCTGTTCCCACACCTCCACCATGCTGAGGTCTGACTCCTGACAATCAGAAATAATGAAAACTTTATAAACAAAAGCTTCACCTTGTGTTAAGTCAACATACTGAAGCAGAAATTTAGGACAAAGTTTTTATTTAAACGATAGTACCATTAGGTTGTGGTCTGTGTTCAGTGGATACTCCATACGCTGCGCTGTAACCTTAAAAAACAAAAACGTGGCTTAACAGCTTTACTATGAAGCACCAATCCAACAAATWCAGAAAATTACACAAAAGTCACAGTAAAATAGTTTTTTTAGTCTATTATTTAATCGTCTTTTTCAGCATTTGTTATCCCAGCTTGGTCTACAACTCTGCAGCAGTATGAAACATGTTTTTATCCATTTAACTCACAGATACTCTCCAGTGAAGAAAAGGGGATATAATGTTTTTGTATGTGTCTGTTAGTTTGTCTGTGGTGTTCGCAAAATATCATGAACCACTGCAGGAATCATGCCTTTAATTTTAAAGTTTGTTAGAACCAGAACAAAGATCAGAGTCAGTACAAAGTTTGTTTTTTGGAATAAGAACATCTTTCTCTACATCATTACTCATTTACAGTCATATGAAAAAGTTTGGGCACCCATCTTAATTTTCCCGATAAATTGTTGATTGTTTGGATTTAAAAAATCAGTTAAATATATCATATAGGGGACAGACACAGGGATATTTGAGAAGTGAAATGGAGTTTATATGATTTACAGAAAGTGTGCAATAATTGGTTAAACTAAATTAGGCAGGTGCATAAATATGGGCACCATAAAAATGTACCTCAGTATTAAGTAGCTCCTCCTTTTACAGAAATAGCCTCTAAACACTTCCTATAGCTTCTAATGAGAGTCTGGATTGTGGCTGAAGGTATTTTAGACCATTCTTMTTTACAAAACATCTCTAGTTCATTCAGGTTTGATGGTTTCCAACTACAGACAGCTCTAWGTGACACCACAGATTTGCAACAATATTCAGGTCTGGGGACTGAGATGGMCATTCCAGAACATTGTACTTGTTCCTCTGCATGAAGGTCTTAGTAGATTTTGAGCAGTGTTTAGGGTGGTTGTCTTGTTGGCTTCAGCAGCTTCAGCTTTGTCACTGATTCCTGGACACTGGTCTCCAGAATCTGCTGATATTGGTTGGAATCCATGAGTCCCTCAACTTTAACAAGATTCCCAGTCCCTGTACTGGCCACACAGCCACACGGCATGATGGAACCACCACCAAATTTTACTGTAGGTAGCAGGTGTTTTTCTTGGAGTGCTGTGTTTTTATTTTTTACCTCTATACATAACAGCCCTTGTTCTGCCCAAATAACCATTTTACTTTCATCAGTCCACAGCACCTTATTCCAAAATGGAGCTGGCTTGTCCAAATG